GAATGCCACCAGCATGAAACACTAATTCATTTTTCAAAAACAATATAGAACAGTCACTAGTACAAGAAAAAGATCAGAACTCTACAACTTAACAGATGCAGGATGTTAGATATTGTGTAAGATGGACAAGAGTAGAATGTATCTATATGGACCTGTATAGTTAATGAAAGGGATCCAGAATTATTATTTAAAAATATCCAACATTACTTTAAAGTTTATTTGAAAACTGCAATACCACATCACACATTAAAAGGACAAAAAAGTTATTGAAATAAATATTAATCTACAGTAAAGCATAAGGCAGGACAACTGGTGAAGGTCACTTTTTAGTAACATTGGACATGTACAGCTGGAATGTGCATGTGCATTTATGTCATCATTTCTCCAGCTGACACTCCGACGACTTAGGCACCTACAAAAATCCAGAATGTGACTAACAGCAGCTGTGACAGTAAACTGGTCACAAAGTACGTTCACAAATTACACATGTGGTTACACTACTAAGGAGTCATTTCTTTTTCTTCAAGCAGAGTCCCAGCATGTCAGATGCTAGTAACTTCTTGTCAATTCTTAGTTAAAGCTGGATACAATAAGCCTATACTGCATAAAATTTTGCACGTTCCTTGAAGCCTGTGGAAAAATGTGTAACTCTTTCATGAGTGCCAACATTAAAAAAAAATTTAAAAAAGGTAGTTTTCATAGACACAGAACAGGCATAGTCCTGTTGAGTAGGAAAACAGGTTTCACATTAGCTGGTCAGTAAAATGCTACTAATATAATTCATTACCACAAAGACGATTAAGGGTTTGGAGCATCTCTCATATGAGAGGAGGCAGAAAGAGCTGGGACTGCTCAGTCCAGGGTTGGGAGGGGAGGGAAGAGGGCGAGGAACAGAATCAGATCAATGTGTATCAATATTTAAGGGGAGGATGTAAAGAAGATGGAGTCAGACTCTTCCAAGTGGTATCCAGTGAAAAGAGGCAACGAGCACAAACTGAAACACGGGAAGCTATTTCAATGTAGGAAAAAACTTTTTTTTTTTTAAATTTTTTTATTTATTTTTAAATGAACACTGAAACAGGTTGTCCAGACAGGCGGGGGACTCTGCATTCTTGAGATATTCACAGCCTGACTGAACAAAGCCCTGAGCAACCCGCTCTAGTCTACCTTTTTTTGAGAAGGGGAGTTGGACTAGACAATGTCCAGAGGTGCCATCCAACCACAACTATTCTCTGATTCTATGATTATATACAGTTCTATCCACTGGATATATTTATATTTTATAGGAATTTATTTTAGTCTCAGTTCAAGTTCCAAGGCATCTTGAGAGCTTTTCAGTGTGCCTAGTTCTGCCTTGTCAAATGTTAGTTATCTTGACTGTTAAGGTACTCCTTGGAGCTATAAGTAGTGCCTTTAAAGTACTAAATGATGCATTAGGACATACACAAATTTCCTGCCTCCCAGAAACATCAAACATTTTACAAAAAGATTTTAGATATGAAGCATCAGTATCAGAAACAGAATACTATGAACAGTAAATACCTTTATCTATAATGGCATGGCAATGCATCATCCCACCAGTGAAAGCATATAAAACTCCAGTATAAACAGTACACAAAGAATTTAGGAGTTTACTACACAAAAGTAAACAGTTCATGCCATTCCAAAATAGGGAAGGGATAACTTCCACGTAAGTAACAAATGTGTAAACTATGACTCATTAATCTGGACAACAGACAACTTGGAAAAGACAAACTCATCATATTTCCAGAGTGGCCTGGAAAGGGCTGGAAGCAAGTGACTGTTCATCATTTATTTAAACACAAGAGCTAGGCACCATGAAACAAAGCTAGTAGGAGCCAGATTCAAAAGACAGAAAAGGAGGTGGCTTTTCACACAACAGATGGTAGTTATGCAGAATGTTTTGCCAAAAAATCATTTGGATGCTGAAAATTTACAGGGGGTCAAGGGGATATTTGACAAGTATTTGGAAGAGAGATCCATCACAGGTTACTAAACGGACAAACCTTATCAGCTTCAGGAAGTCCTTGAGCTGATATGCATTGGCCAAGAATGTATTAAAGGAAAAACAGTGCATATAGATTTGCTTTGTTTTTATTCTTCCCTCCACATCTACTTCGAGCAAGTATCCAAGATAGGATGGTAGGATAACCAAGGATTCTTGGTCTAAACCAGCATAGCATTGTTGATCCAATAAAGCAATGCTAGGATTTACCTTGCTAAAATAATACCTGACCCTATCCTACCATTCAAACAGCGCACAAGATACAAATACTTGAAATCCAATTGCTTGTCATATTGCGACCCTGGTAAACTTCCTTCACCTGTGCTATTAATGACTGCACATACTTACTTAGGAGGCACAGAAGGAATTTATCATTGTTTGTGCAAAGTGAATGACAACAGAGCAAAAGAAGGATCTATCAGACTCACTATATCAGTTACTAAAAACACAGTATTTTCAACTTGGTCTTCTTGTCACAAACATGCAGTTTTCCAACACACAAAATGTCAGAAAGCCCCTTTGTTTGAAAGAAAACACTCTGTCTCTGATTAACTGGTATCTACTGCAGTGTATGCAACTTGATTGTTGCTGCAACTTACTGCCATGAAAAAGGTCTTGAAAGGGGAAGGAGAGAAACACTCAGGAAAGGAGTTCTATTCCATAGTCCATCTAACCTCTTAATGGTCATTTGTTCAAGTTATAATAGAACAGATGTAGTATAGTTGAAGTGAATCAAATAAAAATTTGGCAGGCACATCCCAAATGAAAATTAGACAATGGAAAATTTTCTGTCTATGGGAATAAAAAAGTATTTGGCTGCCGCAATTGTCAAGTAGGCATTCTAAAGGAGGACAATTAGGAAAGTGTCAACGGCTGTCAGAGAAGCTATCATTTTGAAAATTGTATTAAATGCACCAAAGTTTTCAAAGAGTTATCATGGAACTGACTTGAAATCACTCCTACATTAGTTGACTACAGAAGTTGGCAGTTCATTAAGAGGATACTACAAGGCATAATGTGACTCACTAAAACAGTAATGCTCAAAAATTTGAAATACTCAGTATCAGATCAGCAAATAACTTCCCATGGAATTGAAATGTTTCTGGATCTTAGACTCGTGAATAAGCCAAAACCTCCATTTGCTGCTACAGCCACTGAAGATCTTTGTGCTTTTGTAGACACAAAGCTACCTAGTGATTCTGGCTAGTGGATTTGGACACCGTGTTTCAATATTGTTTGTATAGATGTCTGTCACAACTTTGATAGGGTATCCTTCATGGAGTATCCTTGGAAATGAACCACCTGGATGTACCAAGAAAAATAAACATCCACGTGTTTTGTTCTCTTCAATACTTCTCCAGAGCTGATGACACTGTCCTCATTAAACCCCAAAGTATTTTACAATCTTCAGGGAGAGGAGCGGCAGAGGAAGAGCAGAGTTCCTATGTTTTTGTCTGGACACAAGGATGAAATGCTGTCTTCAATAATGTTCCTGTGCTTCAAGGACTTTTGGGGTGGGGAGGGAAAGGTTTTAATTTTGTTTATGTATTTGAAGAGATTCCTTTTGAATGGCACATTTTGGTTTACAAAAGCAGAGAAAATGTCCTCTGTACCAGAGAGAGCCCCAAGGAACACAAGTTCTTTCCAGATGGAAACAACACTGGCTGAGAAGATTGTACCAGCAACCTGGATGCCAACATTTAAGGTCATATTTCAAAAACAAGAAGTCTAAGGGACCAAAAATAGAAAAGAAATAATTGTATGTATATTTTTAAAAAATACCTCTCACATCTTTCCCCTCTCCCCAAACCTCTTTTCCCTCAAATTAATGAGCAAAGATACTTAGATACACTGAGGACTGTAAAATTTAAGACCATTTACATGAAGCTAAATAATATTTAATATATTTTTCTGCCTTTACGTAAATGGATATGTCACCAGTTGGCTGGTGATGAGCTTTGGCTCCATCACCCCACCCCCCCCCCAAAACTAATCTTTTACCTTCTGTTCCAACGCAAGCCGGTACTTCTGTTCTACCCTTTTGCATTTGTTGTACCAACTGTTTTCATCTGTGATGAAAGGAGGACCAACATTCTCTGGAGTGCTGCCTTCACTGCCACTACTGCCCAGTGTTCTTAGCTCTTCTTCATCACTGCTGATGCTGTCAGAACTGAAGGATCATATTTATTAGCCAAGTGAAAAGCTGTGTTTGTTAAAATGCAAATTCCGCTTGAAATTAAAGCACCACAGTTCTTAAAGATATCTAAAGCTCTGTAAACCAAAAAGAATCAAAAGGTTGGGATAGATCATCAAATACAACTTATGTTTCAAGCTTTTATTTGTATAGCCACCTAAAGAATGGGCAAAGATTTCCTTGTGATCTTAGTCATGTTGTCTTAGGCAAGTCGGACAACTGTACTTGGGATACTCTCCTGGAATACAAGGGGCCAATGCATTACAATATGCTATCTAAGGAAGTGGTGACTTAATCTTTCCTTCACAAATTCAGGGCAAAGAGTAGTATCTGAAAATATATTGTATTTGTTTCTAGAAATGCAGAAAAATAAAAGTGATTGTCGTTATGTGAAATCATGATAAATTTAAATGAGAATGTATAGTTTTGGTTATAGCAAAGACCACATGCCTGTTATTTCACAGAACATAAGTATCTCCCTACATAGCATGCAGATTCATTGTTAAAATATCTCCATGTCATCCAGAATCAATGTATGCCACAGAATTCAAACATCTATCTCAAAGAGAAGAATTTTAAATTTATCCCAATACCTGTTTGAAATGTTCCGTTACAACCGTGCTTCCCACTACGTTAACAGCATTTACTAGTTTTTTAAGTAATGATTCCTGTGACTCCATGATCCTGCTGTGATGCAAATTCTGCTTTAACTGAATCATGCAATTTGTCATGAACATGTAAGCTAATGAGAACTTCAAGAGAATAACTAGGGTGTTTCATGTTCAGTTGTACGTCTTCAAGACTACTCCTAACTCCCAACTGCTTTCTTCATTTTGGCAACCCTAACAATACAACACATCCCATTAATTTCCATGCTTTTTGGAGATGCCAAATTGCTATCTGATCTGTCAGATAGCAATCCTTCTTTTTATTATTAATCATATAGCTGATTGGAGGAGCAAAATGTAGCTGGAAAGTGAGATTATATATGCAACTGGTCATGAATTTCTATTATGTGCTTAACTGCTCATACTGCATACTGCTTATGTGTCATATCTTACCTTTTACCAGGGCATATATAATTTTTATTTACAAAATAACTATTTTTAAGTTTATGGCTACACAAAAAAGGCCCAAGAGAAAGGACAACTCTGTCTGGTGATCTTCAAAGGAAATAAAAAGTTTGTTTCCTTGTAATAACTCCACCAGTCTGAAAGAACAAGGTAGCTGAATGCAGAGGTTTGTATTTAGACATGGATATTATTTTGAATGTGAAATGAAAAGTAAGAGGCCCGATATGAAGTAAAATTTTGCCAATGAAATAAAATTTAAAAAGTAGTGTAAAGATAAAAAGTACCTTTGGGTGAACTTCAAGTATGGTGTATAATCTATGACAGCTGGAAAGCTTCCATCCAATCCCTCACCCTTCAGACAAAAACTGATAAAACAGAGAAACAATGATAAGATTATAACAAGAAAATTAAATGACAGTGACAGTTGAATCTTACCAATGTGAAATTTGATTTTTCTTAATTTTTGGTAATAAGAAAGGCCTAGAGTATTTAACACTGAAATCCTACTCAGCCAAGCTAGACTGTTTAATATTAAATAAGAGTCAGTGAGGATATTACAGGATAATGAAAACCCCAACATAATCAAAGAATAGATGAGGGTAAGTGGTATCAACTCTAATTTTTAAATATTCGCTTTTATTCTGAAAATACAAATGGATTGCAAGGGAATAACAGGAAAAGGAAAGTTAGCTGAAGCAAGAGAAAGAGAAGAGCTGTAGATGAGCTTGGAATCTTCAGTATTTAACCTCATTTAAAGTGTTTGCCGAGTGCTTATTTAACTATCCTACTAACTTTAAGTCAAAAATCAGTTCTGAAAAATATTTCAGAGTCTTTCTCCTTTCAGATACTTTCTGGTGTTGGGCTGCAGGAAGATGAGGAACACTAATGAAACTAACTTTCAGAAAATGTTCTTAAATGGCTGTAGCTTTATGAAGCTCTCATCTGCACTGTATTCTTTTTCTACTGGATATAAAAGATTGTATTTGAATCATGTTTAATTATCACAGAAATGACAAAATTAATTATGCCTCCACAAGGCTCATATTCCTCCTCCTATCTCTGTCATCAAAAAACAGATTCTAGTAAGACACAGCTTTTGCTAACTTAATTGCAAAGTGCCATTTTTGACAACGCAGTCACTTAAGTGGTATTTGGGAAGTACATCTGAAGGGGTTTTTTCCCTAAGAAAAGAAAAGCAAAGAAAACAACAAAAAGCACCCTGCAAAACCACAATTATTTTAAGCAGATACATAATTCCACATTGATGTGAGGGGGGAAAAATATTTAGATTCTGTTCTCACCTGGGTTCCCCATCTCCACCCCAAAGTCTTATTTACAGTTCCACATAGATAAGCCAGTTAACATTTATAAGAGACTGTTTGAACTGAAAAAAATATATCTCAAATATAACATGCAAAGAATGGCTACAGCTTCCCAGCCATTCAAACCACAATACTATGAATTATATGTGGCACAATAAAAATGGTCCTGTAGCACTATGTTCCTATTTTGCCCAGAAAATTTCTAGGCTCTTAAAAGCTGCATTGACAAAAACTTAAATGTCTCCAATGAGAACCAATCATTACTCTGAATACTACTAACAGATACCTGTAAATATGCTTGTATTAGAAATCAGAGGACAAAGGAAGAATAAGTGTGCTCATACAACTAAGCTCTCATACCAGTAGTATATATCGCTGAGGATCATGCAAGAAAAACACAGTCAGATGATGATTATTTATGGGCGGATTTACATACTGCAGACCTACTCTTGCTATGTTTCTTACTCATGTATAGCTATAGTCCTTCCAGGTATAGAGCTAATGCAGAAGCTGTTTAATTTCACATAATGTAAAGCTTAAACTAATAAAATCTGGTAAGATTTGAATTTGCTGTACGCAAGGCTAGCTCTCCTATCATCCTGCAGCACACTTCCATTCCCTCAGAACATATGTTGAGGATGCAGTTAAGCCAATCTAATGACTAAATGCTGGCACAAGAAGGTCTCCCGTGTTTTCAACCTCTCCCTCCCCATTGGTTTGGTTTTGTTTTGTTTTTTTAAAACTCAACCAGACATTCCCTTTCCCCTCCTTACAGTGGTACTGGCACTTATCTGACTCCATGATGAGCTAGTTCAGTCATCAAGACCTGAATTTTTAGGTTTTTTTCCCCTTTAGCATTCAGTTGCAGTTCCACAGGCAGCTGAACTAAATGCTCACTGCCACCAGAAAGGGAAGATATTACTCAGTCCTTTGTATTCCTTCTCTTCTCTATGCCTTATGGTCCCATCATCTCTGCCACTAATAGGATGCTTACATGAACCAAACTAGCTAACAACAAAAGAACTATCCTGTCTTCTTACTGGGTATGTTTTTTCACTCTTTAACAAGTTAAGCTGGCTCAGAGAAGGGTCCAACAAGCGTCAAAACTGGTATAAGAGTACATAAGCAGGAGTAAATCTCCTTTTGGCAACAGTCAATCACTCAGTGCACCCAGTGAAACTAAGTGCTGTTTTCTGCCAGTTTATCTCCTAAACTGCTTTATGACAAGCATTAACGCTGCTGCAGGGTCAATATTAACAGTGTACTGCCAGGAGACTGGAGAAAAGCATTATCACTCTCCTTTTCCATATGCTGTATTACAAAACCCTTCCCCAGTGGCTCTATATGAAGCTAAGTGGGCCCAATCAGGCATATTAACAGGGCCTTGCACCAGCCAGGTTTGATCTTTTCATAGGCACTCTAGTCTTCATACCTTGCTGATGATATGATGACACACCCAGATGTTTTTTATATTATCTAGGGTGTGCTTGCACCTTCATTACCCCAAAATACAGAATTAATCATATAACAAAGCACACAAAAGTCTAGCTAGAGATTGCAAAGGTAAATTAATGTAATCCGATGATATTTTGCAGTTCAGCTGCAGCTAACTATAACACAAATTAATATTAAATGGTCATTTGTAGGTTAAGCTTTTAAAATCTAGAAGTGCTAAATTGAAAGATACCTACACCTTCTACATGTGCAGTTATAATACTGTCATTGAGTACCAGGGCATAACCATGTGCTTAATCACAGATTTTCTTACAGTTTAAAAATAGCTTTAAAAGATTCAATTGTCTGTAAGCATCACTTAATGGGTTTGATATACCTTCTGCAATTACACTTCTGATTGCTTTCAGGATTTTTGATACCTGAAAGAAAGGCGATGTAATCATGCAGCTGTATAAACTACAGTATAACTTTGTTCCTATCTAGAAGAGCCATTCCAGATCTCTCTCTCCCTCCTCCTCTTCCTTCCCCTCCACCTAAGTTTTGTCTCTCAAACTATCAAGGGAATCTAACTATGTTTTCCATAATACATCGATTTATAAGTGCTTTCCCTGAGCATTTTGTTATGAAGCATGCAAATGTAATACCTGAAATCAATTGCATTGAGTCCCAATAGCATACCGGCAAGCATATTTGCTTCTTCACCAAGAACAATTGCTCCATCCTCATAAAATCTCCTTCAATAAAAAAGAAATTAGTTCAGTTAATACCATTTTCTCTCCAATAATAATGTTTTTCATAGTTAAACAGAAAACTGGAGAAATCCAGTTTAAATAAAAACAACTCATGTGAATGCCAGGGGCATTCATGTTTCATTTCAAATAAGGCAAACCAATAGACTGCACAGCACAAAACACCACAATCTTAGAGCACATAAAAATTTAGACAGAAGCAAGAAGAATTTATAATATTAGCCCTAAGAAATAGTAGAAAAGAATGGACAAAATGCAAAGAAAATGATGAAGATATCTTATACTTTACTGCTGAAAGGAAGAATTTGTGTCACGTACATTAAAAAAAATTATTCCATCATATGAAAAAAAAAAGTCCTCTCTCAACAATTTTACTTGCAGGCTCTTTTAAAGTTCAACATTCACTCTTCTTTCTTAGTACTTTATTATTTTTAAAAAAATATTTTCACAAATCAGCTATTTTCCAGGTAGCATACCTTTTCTTAAAATACTGCATGCTAGGAATATGTATGCTGCATCCAGTTATTCTGAGATTTAAAATTTTCATTATTTGAAGGAGTAGTGTTTTCTTAAAACCATTTTTTATTGTAAAACACCTACTGGCCAAGGTTTTAAAATTCCACAGCTTGATCTCAAAATACACTTCACATACCCTGGTATATACAGACTTATGAAGGCTGCTTGAGAAAGTGAGCAATAAGGCAACAATTTTAAAATCTGTATTCCCTCACCACCTCCCCATTCTCTCCCATTCATTCTAATTTTCTCCTCTCAGCTACCACAGAAGCTACTTCCAGACAGAAACGTTCCATGCACGGGGCAGGGGAATAGGACCCACCATTGCCATGCATGGCCTTGTAAAAAAGGCATTTGGCCTGTTCAGCAAAGTAGCACACAACTTTAAATTCTGTGTTAAAGGAATCTTGGCAGCAGCAGAGGCAGAAAGGTCCACCTATACATTCTACCAACGTATGATTGCAAGAAGGTGCCAGGTTACCGAATGCAACCCATCTTTCAGACAAATACCAGCAACACTGCCCTACCAAAAGCTCCATCTATTTTAAGAACTGCATGAAAGCACTGGGATGGCTCAGTGAGAGCTCAAGTTGGCTGCATGGCGAACATCCAGAAAAGGCACATTTTGGGGCACAGCTCCAAAGACTGAATTGTGTTATAATGCACACTGTCAGAAGTCCCACTTTTGCAGTTTCATAACAGACATCCATTTGCTATAAGGAAACGAGTTGTCCAAGACCTTGGATGTTCTCAGCGGAAGCAAGAAATCTGGAAGACTTCCTCTGGGAAGATAGAGATTATAGTCCTGGCACTGAGGCTATGATGTACAGACTCGGCTCTCTACCCTCTGGCTTCAGGAAGGGCACCAGGAGGCTAAACTGGCCACTGGATACTGAGCTAGATGGGCTTTACAGTCTGATTCAGTACAGTTACTCTTATCTGTGAACTAACAGCAATGCTCCCAGCACCAGCTGATTACAAACCATTTCACTGGCATTTGTAAAATCACTGCCAGGTACCAATCTCTACTGTGTTGAGTTTATCTTGTAAAACGGTGCCTAGGAAGTAACCACACAAAAAAGACAGGGCATACTTGTAACAGTGAGATGCTGATGTTAGTCTGACAGTGGCAATGTTTCTTAAACCAGCTACAGTAACCCAGCCAAAACAGCAGTCCCCTTGGAAAACTCACAAATCTTCTTTCAGTCTTATGCAGTTGACATCTCACAACAGAACAGTCTACTTTAACTTAAGAGTCTGTGTTGACCGATTTGTTAGAAGAATAATTGTGTGCCCATGCTTACTCCAACCCCCTTCCAACTGTAATATGCAGATCCAGCACTAATAATGTGCTACTTCATTAAAGGATTAGCCCTAAGATCGGGCACCCAAACACAACAGCGAGGTTTAAAAAGAGCTAGCAGTATGATAGATGAATCACATATTCTACAGACACACATGTAACATATGATATTCATAGTTTATATAAGTAATTATTAAAGATACATATAGCACAATATGGAATTTAAAATGCTAAATAAATGGTGCAAAGCATCACCAAAAAAATCAGACCACTTATTAGGTATCCAAAATACCACACGAGAAAAGAGAGCGTGTCCATTATTGCTAGTGGATTTGAAATCCACACTACCAAGATCTGAAACTGTAACTTTTATTTCCATTAGATGTATTTAAAATATTACTTCAAATGAAACTTTGCACTTACTATGTTTGGAATGCAAGAGAAGTTGTTTCCAAAAGCTATACCACTGAAAGAACATTCAAATATATGAAATATTAACATGTTTAAATAAATGACTTCGAAACTGCTAATAAAATAATACTACTGTTACCCACTTGCAAACAAACTGCACTACCAAACAGGGACAAAGAATGTACTACTTAACTACATTCTTTGTGACCCTCCTCTTCCTCCTCATCTCCCCCTCAAAAACCCAAGTGACTTTTCAGTTTGAGGCAACATGAGTAAATCTTTTCCAGAAATCTTTGGTTTATGAGCTGCTTGCCTACTGTAAATGCAAGCAAGTCTGGGTAAAATAAAGATGCCAGGTCTGGAAACTTCAATAAAATGGGATGTTTACCTAGTTGTGTTTCAAAGTCACCTTAATATTGGCAAAATATATGGACATCTGCAGACAAATAGTATTACAAACAGAAATAATATTCTAAATGAACAGAAGTCCTTACAGAGAAAATTCTTATTGTTTAAATAGTCCATTCAGTATGTCTAAAACTTTTAAAGTCCAACATAAGACACCACAACATGATACAGACTCACTGATGTTTAGATGACTTCATCATAAATCTACAAGACACACTTGTTACAGGATAAAGCACCATATAAAAATCACATTATCTAGAACCAGTCCAAAACAGCCAGAGTATTTTTTATCACAAAGCATATTCTTGTCCATAACAGCTTTTACCATTAGAAGGTACAACAAAAATCTGTTACACATTTTTCATATTACATCAAGAGTCCTAGCTATGCCTGATCACTAATTCTCCTCTTCTATATTTCTCAAAAGTTTCCCAGAATTCTCTTACTTTCTTCTTCAGGAAAAGTTCTTACGAAAATTATTTTTTTACTGAGACTCTAGGGTTTTCTGTCAACCATACCTAATTTTGAATGGAACATTACATCTTCTATCCTTATCATGCTACAATTTCAGAATTAGTTCCTTCTTTAGAGAGGTTTTCTTCTCTTTTGACCTTTCAAGAATTCCGGACTTATTTGCACATTTTTTAAATCACAAAGGGATTTTCAATTTTGCAGTTTTACCCATGCTAAAATCCAATCAATTGATACCAACTCAGATATCTTTTACCAGGTTACAGCTCTTTTACTAGTGACCTCCTTTCCTATACAAATCAAGTAGAACATTCACTTTCAAACCTAAGTCCCTCACTTAAGCAACATTTGCTAAAATATTGCAAAAATAAAAGTCTTAGAGACCTGGTTGTTTTGAAGTCTTTCAGAGCTGTTGAAATATATTCAGACAAATGCTTTTCCATAAGTGCTACTCTGATCCAGGCTCGACCCTGCAAGAAGAAACAGATACCAAATATTTAAGTATTACAGAATGAAACACTTAATTTTACATCTGAAAATGAACACAGTTGATTTACCTGGGTGAAATGAACTGATTAACAAAGTTACCACTAAACAGAAATTGTTGCTAAGATGTACTTCATTACAGTAATAATGAAAATAGAAAATACATTCTTACAAATAAACTTTATTGTGAAATAAAGTTCTCCAAAATTTGAAGGGAAAAAAAAAGAAAATTGTTTTTAATTCTACACATGAGATTTTCAAAAGGCTGGAGTATATAAGTGGTAGCAGATCAGGGCAGAAATCCCTTCATTTTAAAGACAATGGTATTGGAAGCATCCAATTAGTTCCAATGTAAAGCAGCAGTAACCTACCCTCAAGGTGATTTAAGTAAGAACTAATTCTCTGCATTCATTCAAATATTTGTGGGATCAATACAAAAAAATTTCTCAGTGACATATTTTTTTTTAAATGTAATTTGCATAAATTATCTTTTCCCCTCAGTAAGGACATCATTATAGAAGGTGCACATAATTTACAGGAATGAAATAAAATCTAAGAGGCCTAAAACTTGGAGTCCAAAAGCAAAACTTCAAACAGTTCTATAAACAACAGCAGTAGCTTCAAAAATAACCTTTAGGAATGTGTTGCGCTATGTTTACAGGTCTAGTGCACAGGATCATAGTTTACAAGAAAGAGACACTTCAAATGGCTGCCATAGTTATGATTGTCATTTTGAGAACACCAGGAACATTTCTTGTAACCCATATAAACTTACAAATAGTTGTAAAAATAGTAAGACCTCTTTCTGCTTAATATATTTGGTGATAATTGACATCTAGCTGAATATCACTACAGACATTCTACCAAAACCACTTGTAGTAGATTATATTCCTAGTTTTAATTTATATAGACCTAGATCAAACTAAATTTGTAATAAGATAGGCAGATGCTAAATAACAAAAAAAAAAATCACTTTCATAAATACCACCAACATAGCAAAAACTTTAACACAGAGTGCACTAAAATGAAAAGCATGTGTATCTGGATAGCTGCCTTTATGTTGCAGTTATTTAGAACATGAGTGAAACAGTCAAACCCTGATGCTGCTGCTTAGCTAATGACTAAAGCCTTATGCAGGTCCAGTGAAAGCAGGGCTAGCTAGCACTGGCAAACCCTTACTAACAGCTTCCAGGCTGACGCAGACACCCCTTTGGACCACCAGTAAAACTGATGCATACCATCGGTGTTTGTGTCAACATGCCTCCAACCTTTTCAGATACGGACAGCCAAAATACTCCCACATACACCTTTAAAAATTCAACACCACTCTCCACACTTGCTGCACAAATTAGCTTCTTTGTTTACTATTTAGCATGGAGTTTTCCACAGAGTAAAAGAAAATTTAAATTTATTTATAAGAGTATTTCAGAAAATAGCTTTGCATCTTATTATCTACTGAATTTAAATATCCATATCTATTCAAATATTGGAATTCAGAAACACCTTTAAAATACATCTCAAATATAAGAAATACAATCATCAGATTCTAGAACATGAGTCTTTCCAGAAAGTATTTGGAAATAAGTTCTCCAAATTATCTGAATGTTCAGATCTCAACATAAGCAAGAAAAGCTGCATGACTTAAATTATCAGTCTACTACTCCAGTACATTGAGTGCTCGGAGGAGCATGTAATATTCTGGATAGGAAAACCAGTCAATACCTTTTTGCCACAGAATCTCAAGTGTTTCAAAGCTTTCATGCAAATTACAGATATGTTTAAATAAACTCGTTTATTTAAAAACGAGTCTATACAAAAGAGGAAAGGAGCAACAGTAGACATAGCAAATAAGCTGTTCTGCAATACTACAGATCATCAGAATGGCTGCTCAAAGATCTACTAGATTCATAGTGCTGCTTGATCTAAACATCATCTTTTATTGAAGAAAATTGTGGTTGTGTAAATACCTGTAATTTAAATTGTATTAACCACAGTCATGCCCCTGAAAAAAACCTACAAAGTTTTTGTATATAACAAGCTAAATATTCCCACCTCACCAATGACACCAACTGTGAGTAATCCAGAGTACAATAAAAATCTGGAACACTGGGATTTTTAAAATAGCGATGGAACACAGTTTGGATACTTGTTCAAACAACTGATTCCAGTTCATTTTGGAATAAAAAGAAATAAGAACATTAATTTGTGCATCCTTTTATACTACTTATACTTTCATGTCAGAAGGTTCTCAGTTATCAATCTGCTTTACACAGAAATTCAAGCTATTGAAAAGCATTACAATCTTGTAAAAAGAACTTATAATCTCTATCCAACAGTATTTTTCTTAAGGTGTTGGTCTATATTGTCTCACACTATTAAGATTTAATGATAGGTCAGTTTAAAGCTTGTTCTTATTCAGTTCATATGCATATCAACACATTAAATTTTTACTTCCTTAATGTTTCCATCATACCTACAATCAGGAGTTGCGATGTCATTTCTATATAGATCCTTTAAAACAATGGATCTTTACTAGCAAATAAATCTATTAAAGGCTTCCTGCACAATCACACCAACAAACTCAAGAGCTAATCACACCTTTTCCATTAGTGCATAAATTATATACAAAACAAAATGATACTTAGGTTAGGGGAAAAAAATATCAAATTTCTATAATTTTAAAATAGTATTTGTTAGGCATGCCCACATGAACTTAATTTCCCTCAACATACTGCATTTCCAAAAAATTATGTAAGTTCGAAAATGTGAAGGCAATCATTTTATAATACAACATGCTCACGGAATAGAGAATTTGAGATTTATTCTACTGAATAACAAATTTAAAAGTAAATACATTCAGATTTAAAAGTGATTTTTTTAAAGTAAATATTTACTAGGTACATATAAAAATAATTATTTCAAACAATGAAAAATTTTGTGGGGCAAGCTTAGTAATGTGTTTTTCTTCTGGGTACAGAAATGTCAGCTATATTTTATACAGAACAATGTAATAAGAAAGTCAATTTGACCTTTCTCTTCCCTACCTTAGCTCTAGAAGAACCGACATTCTCCATGTTCTCAATACTGCAGATGCAATTGTGAGAGACTTTTCGGCAAGCTACTCGAATGTAGTCCCAGAAACTACGAGGACTTTCATAGCCGAACCAGGTGATCTGACCTTAAATCAAAATACAAGATATGTAAAGATTTATGAACCTCCCTCTCTGCTCATTGGAGATAAACATAATTAAAATACTTCCCTACAGGTTGCCTGCACTGACAGGATTTTATACTAGCAAGTCCATAAATTCCTACTGAAAACTGGCTCACGGGTGTAAAAAAACTTGTATTATGCAGTTCACCCTGGTTTGAAAACAATGCACAAAGAGAAGTTTGGGGCTTTTGTGTACATACAAAATGTATGTACATATGTATTTTGTTGTTTTTTTCCTTGTTAGTACACTATAATAACACTCAAGTTCTTCACGGGACTCTTAAATCACAATAGAGCACACACTTTTGTGACTTTAAAATATGATGCAAGAAGTATTTCTGTTAGTTTTAGGCAGTACCATGTGTTTCACTAATACAGTCAAGTAAAGAGAGTTTTGTTCTTTAAAAGAAAATAATTTTTATATATAAAGACAACTGTTTGCTGTGGTAGTGTTAGCTTTATTTTAGGAGCAGATTGGAACATTTCAAAATGTGTTTTCACTTTTTTTTTTTTGATGGAGAAATTGATGCATGATCAAAAAAAGTTTTACAGTCACAATTTATTTTGAGTACACCCAGAACATTCCTTGGGAAGTTGACCAAAATTAACTGAGCAAATCAGTACCTCTTCTGGAGCTTTAACCAAAAATCCTTCGTATTTTTTTCCAGCTTGGAATGTATTGCAGTTAGAAACAGAAAGGCAAAATTACATACTACTTGCAACTGCTCCACACAAAATACGTTTCATCACAGATGCAACAGTCCAGCCTCATTTTTCAGACTGAACAGCATACAACTGCTAACAGGTACATAAAAAGTAAGATGAACATTGCCCTCTGGTGACTGCTGTTATTACATATGTGCAAAACCTTTTCTCCATATAAAATGAGATCTTATTGTTAAGCGAATTTTATTTTAAGTCAAGTTGTACTTCTGAGGCTTTAATAATTTATCAGAAAGACCCCTAATTCTTTTGCTGCTCGAAAGCTCAGATTTCAAGAAAGAATATATTAGACTGATACTGCAAATCGTATATACTGAAAATAAAATGCCAAAATATGATGACAAGGATATTTTCATCTAGCGTGACTTATCTTAGCTCCAAGCATAGCCAGAGTAGTGTCAAGGATCTGCCCCCTATGATCTTAAGAAATTCAAGTGGTGTTTTTTTTTTTTCCCTAGAGGATGCATGTAACTTGACTTTGTGGCCTACCTGCTTACTTTGCTACATGGATTTATTTATTAGATTCAAAGCTTGATAAAAAACTTATTAAAAAAAAAAAAGCAGGAAGAATTAATATATACTACTCGACATGTCAAAGAAAAAACAAAATCCCAAGTTGCTTCAGTTACTGTAGATCCAGATCTCAACTTTAAGGACTAAAATAAAAGAATTTCCATGAGGTAAGCACTCTTACGAACTCACAGTTTTTGTTGAAATGCCGAGTGTAGCAGACAGCAACAAGAATTCAACAGCATTTTAACAACATGAAAAGCTACAGATATTTTTCATATTCTTTACCATATCAGAAACATTTCTGCCCTGGGAATTATATCCGCAAAATTAAATGCAGCTTAAGTGTGAAGATGACTTCGTGTCACCAATTCCAGTGCCAACTAATAAAGACAAGTATATCATACAAGAACTTTTGCGGCTTTTTCAGACTATCTTAAGGACAGAATATATTCTGCAAAAAAATGCACAGTTTCACTCAGTTTTCTGAAGTCACTAATTCAAAGCAATTCCCTTTACCAATGAACACCTGAAAAACACGTCATTTAAAAACAAAAATACCTTTATAACAGAAATACATACCAGCACACAGCACTTACTTGGCTTACACTAATCAACAAAGCAAGCTGGCCATAATTACAATATACTCTGACATAACAGTGGGCTCTCATCTCACAGCCAGCTCTGCGAGAGGGCATGATGGGTTTCAGACTTCAGTAGGAATTGCCTCCACTTGAACCTCACAGCCAACTCAGGACTTCCTGTGAATCAAGGACTTCCATATTTCACTATTTTCTCCCTACAACTTTAAACTTTGTCCACACTCTAGTAATTAACACCATCTGAAGAAGAACTTCCTTAATCATTCTATACACAGAAAAATGTTGGAAAAGATTGTCTGAGACTAGAGAGGATGTATTTTAAGAGCTACTAAATAAGATATTAAGCTGTATATTCCCTACAATTTTAAAAGCTTTCAGCCTATGAAATCCTACTTGGCCCTCAATGCACTCAATACACACAGCCATGAGAACTCTCAAGAATGAGGAATGAAATAGCTCCCACTACTCAGCGCTTATCAGGCTATGCCTGGAGTACTGCGTCCAGTTCTGGTCCCTGCAGTTCAGGAAGGACAAGGGCAGACTGGAGAGGTTCCAAAGGAGGGCCACGAAGATGTTCAAAGGGCTAGAGAACCTGCCCCATAAAACAAAACTGAAGGCGTTAGGTCTTTTCTCCCTAGGGAATAGAAGGCTCAGAGAGGAACTCATCATAGCATTCCAGTACTTAAAGAGCAGCTACAAAGAGGATGGAGGCTCTCTCTTTACAAGGAGCCACATGGAGAAGACAAAGGGCAATGGGTACAAGTTGCACTGGGAGAGGTTTCATCTCAACATAAGAAAGAATTTTTTTTTTGCAGTAAGAACAATCATTCACTGGAACAACCTCCCCAGGGATGTCGTAGAGTCCCCATCGCTGGAGGTTTTCAAGATGCAATGGGACAGAGTGCTAGATAATCTCATCTAGGCTCCCTTTTCCACAAATGGTTGGTCCAGATGATCTTTTGAGGTACCTTCCAACCTAGGCTGTTCTATGATTCTAAAATCTTATCTAAATTTTAAAGGGTGCTAATAAACTTGAAAGCTAATTTTAGTCTACAACTCTACAACTGTCAAAGTACTTCTTAAGGAAAGAATAAGTTTCCTGGGAGGTCCAAAGGACAAAGAGTATGTGGTCTTTGCCATGAAGTTTACATGTCATCAGAAGACACAGGAACTGACAGCTATTCCAACAGGAATGATGTTAATGTTTTTGTCAGCCAAACAAAATTGTTAGGTAAGCATGGAAGCTGCATGTTTAATATTAAACATTGCTCAAATTAATCCAATTCTTGTCCACAGAACTGCAAAGCAACTAAAAAATTTTCACAATATTGTTTCTATTTCACCACGTTTCTGAATACTGCTACACACCTAATTGTATCAACCCATTTCTGCTCCGGTCTAGATACAACTAGATACAAACATCCGCAACACTAATTGTTGCAGATCTTTTTTCATGCCCAAGAAATTCTTCACAAATAAGACATTAAACAGTTTGATTCCTACTCCACTGCAGTCCAATTTCATACCTACAAAGCTGCACAGTTGCAAAGAAGTAAGGACTAGGATGCTCTAAGGTACAGGCAGGTTTTGTCCAGACTTCCCTGTATTATTTAGTTTGCAGCAAATTTTTCTATCCCACAAAAAATAAGTTTCAATACAACTCGTTGCTAATAAACTGGCATACTATTCCTTTGAGGAATTTCTGTGATACCTACTCTTCTATTTTGGGTCTACAGAATGGGTCATTAAAAATTTACAGTAGTTCATAAACCCAGTCCTCCAAGACAATTATAAATTCATTTAAGATTTTTCTCCATACAAGAGAAAGGAGAATGAGCTAAACCACAAATTACACAGGAGCCTTACTATTTCTTTTTAGACAAAAACAGTAATAGGGTCACTATGTGTGTATAAACATTAAATCTAGTAACAAAAGCTATACTGCTAATAGCATTATTGCACCAAATAAAAGGCTACCATAGCTATATGCTCAGACTTTGTCTTTTTCATGACAGTAGTGCCTTCAGCTCTTATTTCCTTAGCTTACCGTTTTCACCCCCATTATATCTCTGTTACCTTAACTATTTTATCCAGCAGACTTGTTTCTCAGGATGAGCAGCATGACGAGCTGCATCTTACTCACTCACTTACCTGCTTCCTCACCTGTGACCTAGACTACAAACACAAATTGTCTCCTGCAGACATAATTCATACCCTTTCCCTTTGTAACCACTGTTTATGCCTGAATTATTAGAATTCAGGGGATTTTTATTAATAAAAATTATATTAATATTCATTGCTTAAACAGAGGCTCCATGAAATAGCAGGTAGTAGTAAGTGCTTTTGTTTGGCTCCTAAAATTAAATAATAAAAAACATATGGGAAGAGATAAATTGTGCACTGCAAATATAATTCTTTCACTGCTTCAAAAATTAGTTATTTAATAATTCACCTTACTATGAAGAAGTGCAAGAACTGAACATTTACCAGTGACATCACTAGTACAGCTATTTACCATTACTACCACCAGACTACTGATGATGCATGAAACTAGAACATTTTATCGAATGAGGAAAGGAAGAGAATTATTACATTTATCTTTCCATTCAAGCAGCACTGATCACCCTAGAAGCTTACTACTCACATTAAATTTTCTAAAAGAAAAAGGTAAAGCAAGCAAACAAACTCCACAGTCACTAAAAATTAGGAATAACATAGATCAGATAGAGACAAGCAGCTTCCATGGGCAACTGTAGCAGAAGCTTTTGATGTGTTTATAATACCTTCTAAATGTACGTACAGGAAAAACCGCACACAAAGTTGTGAAAGTGTCAAAATAGCACAATACAGCACACTGTGTCATTGTGGTGGCAAATGCAAATAAGTGTATAGATGACAAGTATGGTCACAGTAACCATGACACGCAAAAATTACAGAAGTCACAAGCAAGATGCACTATATACGTTGTCAGTGACAGAACTTAATTTATACATCAAAACTATTTCTAAGCATGCATACTGGCTAGCAGTTTGGATATAAACACATTTTGCTGTAAAAGATATTACAATGAAAACATAGTAAGTCAACAAATACATACACATGACAACAGTTTTCAGAAATACGTTTGAGATGATGGCCATAAAAATCTACAATAGTTATTAATGTTCTTCAGTACTAGCTCAGTTAAAACTGATTTAAAGTGATAGAAAAAGGCAGAAAACCATTCAACACTGTGATATAGCAAAGACAGTATATACATCACTTTGAATTGACTTCAGGTTTTAGATCAGCTAGGATATACCTGTGATCAAATCCCAAGTACTGTTGCTGAACACTTTTTGATGCCCCTACCATTTCTGCACTAACTTTACTTAGCTGCTCTGATAAAAAGGACACTGACAGGAAATATACCTGAAAAATCTGTGGCCAGCAGTGAAAACAAGAAACCACGAAGACAACTACAATATACTGCTTAATCACCACAGTACAGAATAGTTAAGAAAGGAACAAATTCCAAACAACTACTTGAGGAAAAAAATGGCTCCTGAAACTACCCAGCTTGCTTTAAAGATTATCAAACACACATACATTTGTATACAGATTTGTAAAATCCCTTTCAGGACTATAGGTCTTATTTGGTCCAGAGACCTTCCAATGCATTGTCTCTGTATCCACTCAGAATACCACTTACTCTCTGCTGTATTATAAAGCCATGCAAATTCTTATTCCTGAGAAGGATTAAGAGAGTAATTAGTCACTCATCTTTTTTCTGTTACTCCTTCTCTCCTGCCTTTTCAAGATCTTCAATTGTCCTGTCCAGTAGTATCGTATCTTGCCAGCAGGCATGCCACACAGCTTATTTTAATGACAGGAAGAACACGTGCTTTATATCCTCCTCATTACGATATTTGGTCTACTCTGCAGTCACAATAAATCCAGCACTTCTAGGGAGTACCAGGTATACTACACATACAATATTACACAGTACAGGGATACGTATGTCTCCACTTTCTAGAGCAGAAGGCAGTCAACAGCTTGCAACCCCTGAAAAGACAGTTAATACAGTTTACTCAAACTCACTCTCTCTTCCTTAGGGCAATAAAATAGGCTGCGAGCCAGACTGCTTTTTCTAACAACAGTGGTCTATTCCTGACTGCTACTTATTGGCATTGGTGTACGTGTAACTGTAAGGTAGTACAGATGCAGCATTTTGGCCGTGGCATATTATGTTACCTTTTTTGGAATTATTTTGGTACCATATGTGCTAAGTCACATGAACAGATACCTGCATTCAAGCAGCATTCACAGATCTGTTGTGTGAGCTGATATATTTATGCTGATCTCATTTTATTACTAAGCAAACACCCACACCTACACCACTCTTAAGAAAATGAGCAGCTGGGTTAAAGAAGCATATCCATCGGGAAAGTCATTAGTTTTCTGCCTGTTTGACTTCCTGGTCTGGCTCACCACAAGATCCACTGAGGGCTATGGCCAATATCAGGGAAAGGTAAGCACAAAGGGGTGGGGGGCCCAGAAAATTCTGTAGCAAACTGCACCGAGTTTAAGAAATGTCACAGAGATTTTCAACACTCAACTGGAAAACGCCTTGAGCAATCTGAGACAACCCTGCTTTGAGTAAGAGGTTGGACTGGATGACTTTCTAAAGTACTTTCCAAACTAAATTCTTTAGTGTTTGTGAAAAGAGAAAACAAACCAACACAACCACCCAAACAACTATGAATGTTGTTTCATGACCCTTTTGCTATTTGAAGCTGGCAGTATCAGATCAGTTACTTATCAAAGATCAATTTAAAAATGGTGCTTATATTGCTATAACTGGCATTTTTAGCAGAACAGCCAGGAGGATGAGGATTGGAAAGCTATTATTTCAGAATTCCTAATTGCAGTGGTTTCAGGAAAAGCATAAAACTCTAATCCCTGTAGTTGGACATTTTTTCCCCTTAAAAAGGCTATCCTTCTTCCTCCCATTTTGTTTTGTCTGGATCCTATCCAAACACAAAACCAACAAGCAACAACAGTCAAGACTATGCTTTGCTCCTTAAAAGCATATTATATTTAGTGTCAGAAAAGACAATTGCCAGTAAAAGTATTCTAATAAAAGTAAATTTAGTACTTTGCAATGCAAATTAATGATTTTGTTTTTTCATTCTTCCTTCCTCACTCAGTACTTCCGAAGGAAGCTAAAGATTAGGAATTGTTATTTGCCATGGCCTTAAGAAAGTAAAGGTCTGTATACTCAAACTCTCAAATCTGGATCATCCCTTTAACTACACTGCCATAGGATTATCCTGACAGCTTTGATACAATGAAGCCATTTATCTTACCACAGACAAACAGACCATGTATGTTCTGCCTGCTTTAAAACATTGTATACAAGCCACTGCAATTACCAGTCTGCTTTTAGTGTGCTCCTACTGACACAAAAGTATGCATTCAGAATATGTTAGTCATTTCCATCAATAACATGCAATTTCTTTCAAGCCCTGTGTTGTATAATATATACCCTCTTAAAATTTGAATTGTCATGGTACATTTGTTATCTCAATTTCCCTTTCAAGTTTTTAAAGAATAAAATAATTACTCGCAGTGATCTAGCTTATTACCAAAATATTCCCCCGTTTGAAATACAATGCACAAGTTGCTGCCTTTTCCCATATTTTTATTTAACTCTGCAAACTTAGAAAATCATACTGGTAATTACAAGGGGAAGACTGAAACAACAATTTAGCTTTTGCATTTTCGCTATTTCTTATTTGAAATAATTTTTTACTTGCAAATTCCATTTGCCTGTAACCCATTTGTCAGCCTGTCAAGGCTTCTTTTCTGTACTGCATGTCCTGAATAACAGACTGAAGCAAAAGAATGCTGGGTGTGTGTGTGGGGGGATTCATAATGATTTTTGCTGAAACATCACTGAAGCTGGGGGAGAAGGAGAAAACAGAGCAATTTCTCTGCAGTGTCAAGTTGCTAAGTACCCATAATCACTCCAATAATCTTTGTCACAATGTGACAAACACTGTGTTCCTACCCCACTGTGCGATTTCTTTTTTTTCCTTCTCTGACAGAATGACAGCAGGTAGTAATTGTGCTACTCAAATGTCAGCCTACACACAATATTGTTCACAAAGCTTAGTTATGAATATTAAAAAGCAGAAGTATGAAAAGGAGTAGATTGTCATATTACACATCTCTATTTAGATGATTATGATGTCCTTCATAATCCTCAAATAATTTCAGAAACTGTACACAGAACTGAGAAATGAGGAGAAGCTTCCAAAGTCCTTTTCTAGCGACTGTTACTGCTAAGGCACACTCTGTTCTTTTAGCAAAGCAGCTTCCTCTAGAACAATCGGAAAACGCAAACAGACATTTTCTTGAATTAGAACAACATCTGACTCTGATACAAGAGGAGAATCAACAACTGACCTTTCTCAAAAGCAATTTAATCCAGATCCATTACATTCCAGTAGCAAAAACCAGCTTCACTAGGAGGGTGGGGGGACAGGAATGAAAGGACCTAAACACACTATCTGGAAAAGAGGCAACAAAAGCAGGGAAGGGAAAAAGAAAAGGGAGCAGCACCACATATATGCTCTCTATAGCTTCTGTTAAAGCAGAAAACACTACAATTGTCTTTCAGCCTCAGACTCTTAGGACACAGCCTTATCATAAAGCAGACAGAGCTCAGCACCATGGCAACATCCACTTGCTTAATTACCAGCCAAGACGACTTCCAACAAGAACACTGGAAATATTCCTTGACTTTTGCACAGTAATGCAAACAATCAGGAAGGCAGCAGCAAAGGGACAGACACAAAGAAAGCCAACGTTTTCATTCAGCATCAAGGAGTTTCTACAGATGTACACTCGTTTCATATAAACAAATTCTCATGGCAAAAACATCACCAGTAAGGAAGTTAATTAACATACCCTTTAGTCGATGACTTAGAATCTGTTCCAGAATGGCTGCAAAATTATTAAATTCAGGGGAAGTATCATCTATAGTCTCAAAACAGGAACGGTCGATTAGAGTCTTGACTGAAAACCTAGAGCAAAAGTACAGGACAATCATAAATTATATGGATAGCTATTGGTCCTCTATAGAAGGACAGGGGTTTGTATAAACCAAACAAGCAGAGAACCAGAAAACCACCTTGATGATTTCAAGTTCAGTCAGAGCAACACAAACACATACCACATTGAGAAATAACCTGGAAATACAATCATCGTTGCTGGTCTTAGGCATAAAGCCTTAAAAACAAAAAAAGAAAACAAAAAAAGAAAACAAAATTCCCCACACTTCCTGTGTAGAAGTGAGCTAATTATTTTCCAATTATTTTCCTCTTCTGTAAATTATTTTAATGAAGCTGTAGAAAAACAAGCACTCAAAAGCATCCAACATAATTTTCTTTGTAATCCTAAACATCATGATTTTTGCTTGACATTTCACTTAATGCTCCTTTTATTCCCAAAATCCATGCCCAAGATTCAGAAGTATAAACTTTATCCTATTACAAGAACACTGTAATTTCATCCTAATGCAAGAATAATCCAAACATATTATAAAACAATGAATTTTTATGCACTGTTAACTCTGTGCATTAACTTGGACAGGCTGATTTCCCTGTGAATGAGGGTAATCCCTATTCAGCATCATATTACTTCATTATTATGCCAGAAAAGCTATCAATTTAAATGATCTAACATTTGAAACTGGAAAGGTTGAATCAAGCCACTGTAAAAAGCAGACAAGAGGTAACTAGTCAATTAGCCAATGTTAGCTGTGTTTAGTTACACCTGCACTTTTCGTTCTTATTCAGAAGAAGGTAGTTTAAACCTCAAGAAACATGACAAAAATTGATTTTTCTCTTGCCTTCTCCATTTTAATTATAACCCATTTTTATTTTCCTTTCTGCTCCTTGTTCTTCAGTTTTCAGTTTCAAGGCAAGTTTCATGTGTCCTCAACTTTGACAGTAACATTTATTTTGAGGCATTTATTGTGGTTTTTGCAACAATCCTTATTTGTATTAATGGAGCCATACTAGAGCCTGAGGCAATAGTTTTCACAACACCCAAACTTCAACAGTACCAGCTTAGGAAGTTCTCACCCTGCCTACTCGTCCCAGACCCTACACCTGAGCACGCTGCTCCCTCAGTTGCGCCAGTTCTACTTTTTATGGGGTTCACTACAAACCGATCTAGATTTTTAGTAATTGAGAGAAGGAGGGGTGGAGTGACTCTTAAATATGGATACATTCATAATAAATATGCTTCACAGCATCTCAACACAAACAGTTCTATGGCACAGCTGCAGAAGCAGCATACTGTATAGGCATGGGCAGGAATGAGACTCCTTAAACCAGCAGTACTATTTTCAAATGCTCTGTACTGTAAAAGTAACTTAACTGCATCCTTAGTGGAGTCAGCACAGCCTCCTGATCATCATTTACTAAATGAAACTAATTATGCTCAAACTGAACTGACATATATTTCAAGAGTTTCAACTCAATTATGTTATATCAAGTAAACTTCTGAATAAAGACTCCCCATCCTACCTTTCCTGCAGGCTTCTATTGTTGTAGTGTTTTTGGCAGGACAGGAATTAGGAGTTAGAAGGGTGGGGGAGGAAGCTGCTTCTGCAGTGCCAAGTTATGACTCAGTTTTGAACTCCTCCACATTTTTAACCAATTTTGAGTAAGTGAGAGACATGCATGCCCACCAATAAATTTCTACCTAGTCAGTATCATTGCTATTGACTACTCTAATGGTAGTAATGATTGTTTCCTCAAAGCTATACGAGAGCTGTGAAATTATCTATAAAAAAATCGTCTTAATTTTGAAAAAAAATGCATATAGCAATGCCATGACCAAGTCAGTATTAACTGTAACAAGAAGACTCCTCCCACACCGTGCAGATCTGAAAAAGAGAAGGTGCAGCATATCACTCACTCACAGGTACCTACACAAGACAGAGCGAGTTAGCAGTGTAATGTACTAGACTATATATAGGAATATCATCTTAAAACTCAAAGACACAATCATGGCACAATCATCCATAAACTGCAAAACAAAGTAGTGTATCATATGTAGCCATGACTATTTTTCCTCATATTTTATTATGAGGAAATATTCCTGTTTTTCCTCCTATTTTTCAGTGTCCTACTTAAAAAGTTCACTCATTAATGTTGTATGGGATACATATTCAGAAATGGAGATATATTCAAGAAAAAACACTTAAGAGCAATTCACATACACTTCTAAAAATCACAGATAAGTAATTTTTTTTTTCATTTTAAAGCATTCTGCAATTCAATTGAAGAAAAAAATTATATCTAGTTTTTAAATATGTAGAGTCTGATTAGAAAAGACAGTCTAACAGCTCATCATCATTAATGGTGATTTTTTTAAGTGCTCATATTACTACCACCATGCGCTCCATAGAAATATTAATTCCTGTCTCTCTACTCTACACTTTCACCAAAAACCTAAACAACCCTCATAGCTATGTCAAATTTGGCTGAAATTGGCTTTTAGGAGAACTAACAAGGGGTGCGAGTATGTACACCTTATTTCCGTAGACCAGGAAGATAACAGTGCTACCAGGCAAAATTTGATTGTCTGGAAATATTTTTGGGATATTTAAAACAATTCTTGGGCAAATACTCCTGTGTTGTTGGGGTTTTTTAAAATTTTTTCTCCAGAACCACAGAGAGGCAAGCACATATCTAAGTGTAAGTTAAAAGTCACAAACACATTTTGCATGATATTCATACTTCACCGTGCTTACCACGCAGACTGGAAAAAGGATTTAAGGCGTGTAGAAGTGATGCCTTTGAAAAAAGGTTACACTGTAAGCACTGGGTAAGCAATTTTACTCAGTCATGAAAGATGCCTCATATATTGGTTCCAGTGTACAGCCCCCCAGCAAAGAAAGCCCATGCTCTTGCACAGTTATGTGGAAGTACTTGGGGACTGAAAGTCAAGAAAGAAAAGGTCAGGTCTAAAGTACACGAGAGCTATGAAGAAAAAAAATGTCCAAGTAGGTAGAGTTAGAGCAGAGTTCTTGTTTCCCTTTGTGGCTCCCAACTTCATCTTCTCTCCACTGGGCCACTACAGCAGCACTACACTCTAGAGCAAAACAACAGACTACCTACACTTCAGAGGTTAACAGAGGTTAAGTTTTGGTGGGCTGTAGGAGCAGAGGAGTAATATAGCTCCAATACTTGTTGCTTCAAGACTCTTTAAAAAATGTCTTTTATCCAATCATTCCCCATTGTGCCACTGCAACAATAGGGTGGTTGTGTTGTGGGTTTTTTTTTCATACAGTAACTGCCATTGGAAATATTCCCATATCAGTGTTTCTAAACAACCTGCATGAACTCTGATGTTTTCAGATTCTTACACATTGTTCTCTGTCACGAATCCAGTCTTGCTTGAGCCAAAAAAAGATGTAGAAACAGTAGCATTCTCCAACCTTAAAAAGACCTTCTGAATTACATAACAGGAAAACATTCTTGAAGAAGAAAGCTTTATAGCAATCTTTTGGGGGCAGGTTCCTCCACTGTTTTGCAAGATGCACAAGAAGGTCTCCCAAATTTCTTTAGTAACTCCAAACCAAACCCAATCCTTTTGTGGATATGTCCCAGGTCTATAGGCTTATTTCCAAAACAGCAACAAGCCTCTAATCAAAAAGCAAACAGGCAGAAAATTTGACTGCTATATGAATTTCTCACTTTTCATTGTCAGATTCTGCTTCTCTCAGTTTTCAAATGAATGGAAGGATTCTGTCAAATTTATTTAGCTTGCAATTTGGGAAGTATCATTAAAATGCCACTTTAAAGAACGTAAACTATTAATATAGAATAATCCTCAAGATTATAAACTAATATCCCTTATGCTGGAGTACATGGCTTGGATATGAAACCAGACAGTTCAGCTAAGGGTCACTGCAACAGCTCTTATGCATACTAGCAAAATCTCTATTTTAAAAATACATTTCCTGACAGTTGTTCAATTCTGCGTTAACATTCTGTGTTTAAGCTATGACCCTCACTTCCAAAGCCTGCCTCTATTTTTTTGGTGGTTCTGTATCTATACAGATCTTCGATCTATGAATCTTAAGGAAGACTAGATTAAAACAAAACCAAACCAAACAAAGAACAACCCCAAAATCCCAGCACCACTTATTGGAAAATGGAAGCCATCAAACTTGAGGGCAAAAAGGTAGGGAGAGAGACAGAGCTTAGAACTTGTATTACTTATTCAAACAAAAAAATGCTAAAAATTATTGCAATTTAAATCACTGTTGTGCAGTTGCACAAATATAACCATCTATTTTCACATGCAATTTGTTTATGGAACTTAAGTAACTATGTTACTTCCCATGGCTACCTTGCCACTCAACATTTTAGTGGAAACGTACTGTTCCTTCCAAAGCTGTAAATGTGAGAAACTATCCACATCTGCCTGAGGAGTTAGATATCATCACTGTAAGAAAAGACTAAACACCAAAACCCTGGTTTAACTATTACATAGAAATATGCTAAATTGAGGCTTTGACAAAAGTAGTTCATTAAATTATCAGGGACTGGTAACAGATGGTAATTCAGAAGAATATCTTCCTTGTGATCTCTCACCTTCACTGGGTAGCAAGCCATATTTACCAAATTTAGTTGAATCAATTCACTGGAGCTATTTTTACTAGAAGTATTTCACATTCTCATAGGATTTTGACTGGAAAGGACTATTATCTTACCAGTTTTGATACTAATTTGGCTATTCCTAACAAATAACACTTTTCAATATTAGAAAATGTGTAATAACTGTGGTAAAGCACAGAAATATTTTAAACATTTACTCTTACACTGGCAGAAGAATAAAAATATAAATAAACTCATACACATAATAATAACACAAATCCTTTTTCCTCACCATCCTTTCCAAGTTTTAAGGTGTATTCACAAACTAGCAACTTCAGGTTTTGTGAAGATACAGCAAAATTAAACTGTTTTACTGAAAATAATTAAAATACGCCAATTTCAAGTAGTTTCTGTAGTGGTTCTTTGTTTCACATGTTTGAATTCCCTCTGATTTCTAAGCGTCTTTAAATATGGTACAACATCATTTCAACTGCAGGACAAGGACATGAAATAAACTGAAAAATAAAACGTAACACCACGGAGTACAGAAGAGTTCCTTTCAAATGAGGAGGCAGAAAAGAATAGTAAGCTCTGTAGAATACAATATACTCCTTTAAAAAGAACTGTTTATATCCTGTACAATTATTTTATTACTTGATAAAACTGGTGTTTTCCCAAGCCTACAGATTGGCAATATCTGTATCTCTGTAGCAACAGTGAAACTGAGAATTTCTGTTTCTTCTATTTGATCTGCTTCAGCAAGTTTGATAAAAATCTTCTTTTTCTATGTTTTTGTTGTATATCTTTTTCACAGGAAATAGTAGAGGTAAGAATAAAAGCCTGGGAAAAGACAGAATAGTATCGATGCTACTCTGAAACCCAGATACTAGGACTTGAAGGAATATTGAAACAAATTCCTTTCAGTAGCCAGATGATACAGTTATACTTTGTAAAACTCATTAACGATGTACAATAAAAGCAGAAAAAAGGAAGAATAGGGGATCCTAAACTGTTTTTAAAAATACTGCTGCAGCATTAAGCGGTGAGGGTACAAAATTATCCTTGTTGTCCTGGTATATTATTAACATTTGTGAGAATTAAAATTATATCATAGCTCATATGAGCCTGTTGAAGACCTTCTCCAGGTAATATTCAAATTAGTTTGGTAAGTGAAAAATTCAGCAATTGAAACAGACAAACTAACGGAGTCATTGCTACCAGCCTACTCCTGTACTGAAAAGTTTGCCATGATGTAATGGGTCAGTACTGCACACTTGGAAATGCTGCATGAATTCAGCAACGACAGCAGTGGAAACGCTTACACGGAGAGCCATAGGAGGCATTATTAAACTTGTATAAGCTCAGCACTAAGATACTAAAAAAAAATTTGAATACACTAGATCTAGCCTATACTGCAGGTCTCCTGATCTAGATTTTGGAGATAAAAATATCCCCTGCACGCAGCCTCCTCGGGACTGCTCTTGCGGCACCAGCGCCTTACCAGAACGCACGGTGAGCCACTTCCACAGCAGCCTGGAAGAACAATTTTAGGTTTCACTGCACGTCCATCTATATTAAGCCTAAATTTTAAAAGCGGCCGTACCGCGTTAATTTAAGAGAAATGGACACTACCCCAATTCTGTTTTCACGAAGATGAAAAGCCCCGTTGAACGCTGCCGAGAGTTCAGCCCGCCCTGCCTCGCCCGGCACACGCCTTTCGCCCAGGAGCACAGCCCAGGTGCCGAAACCAAACCTCTCCCCGCCGCCAAAAGACCGCTTCACGCCCCGACGCGCCGCGGGCGCTGCCCGCTGCCTCCCTGCCCCCCGGCCGCCGCCTGAAAGCCCCTCACGCAAAGGCTCCCGAAGGAGCTGAGTCAGGATGGAGGCTGCCCTACGTGCCCCCGGAGGTCGGCGCTCCCCGGCCTCCCCCTGACAGGGCGGCCGCCGGCT